AATTTGCCTGTTAATAGTATAACATTTAAAGCCCCTGAAATGACTAGAAAAAAAGTTTAGTTAATTTTGATGAACGAGATTGCACAATAGAGTCAGTAAAACGATCCGAACTTCACGGACGCGACATGGGGCGTGGCAGTATCGACGATACCATTTTTTATTTCGATTTCGATACCATTGAATTAATTTCGATCGATTTCGATTTAATATCGAAATCGTGACACCCCTAATATATTTATTTATTTTTTTCAGAAAAGCGCAACAAAACATTAACAGATTTCCCTAACATTAGTTATTTGTAGTTATTTATGAGTTTTAACTAAAATAATATAATGCATCTTAAACAGAACAGAGGAACATCAAAATATATTAAAGTTCTGATAAATAAAATAATAATTAGTCCCTACATTGCCTTATAAGCTACCTTATAATTACGTCAGCTTGCTTATCCCTTTAACTGCACTTTTTTAATTCTTTCCATCAAGCTATATCAAACCATTTTCAATCATCAGTTGCTGCCTGCCTTCTAAAACCTACTATTTAGCGATTCTAAATCTATTACAGAACGACAGTCTGCAACACACACTTGGCGTCGTTGGATTTCACACACGTGTAAAAGAAAACCTAACTTTTATGTACAAGATACGTTTGATACTTTTTCTCTATGTCTAAATATTTACTACTCACAAGTCTAACTTACATTTTACAATGCAGGGACTGTAACTAGAGATATGCTAGTTATAAATACAGTAATCATTACTATATTTAGGCAGAAAAAGTTTGTTGTGGTTTCCAAGCTCATTAATGTTAACGTTAGCTAGCTTTGTGGTTAGCTAGTCTATGATGAGCCATAATTTAGCAATGGATAATGTCATATTGCAAATTGTAAAACATACATTTTCAATATAACAGGCCAAGGAGAGATGATACGTATCATTGCTATAACTGTCACACGCTATTAAAGAAATACTTCAGTCACATTGTCAAAAGTCAGATGATCTAACTCGCGGATAACTGGTTCTCTCTGCCCAACTTTGGCTGGATCAGCAGGTTGCAGGATGTGTGGCGCGTTATACATGACTGTTGCCAACAGGGACTGTGTAGAGTGCCCTCTGGTGGACAAACTATACAACTCCAACACTCATGACATGGTTGAAGCGTGATTTGTCCGTTCTTATTTTATTTTTGAAATATTAATTTATCGGCCATTATAACTGCCGATACCGATAGTTTGGAAAATATCGGCCGAAAATATCGGCCTGCCGATAAATCGGTCTGGCTCTAATATATATAAACTTATTTTAATTTATTGTATTTCAACTAGTTGCTGAGGGAACATTACTCCATTGAAAATGTATGTACGCTATCCTGTCCTTGTCCAGAAAGGAAATAAAGACATCATCAAAGTAGTCCATGTGACATCAGTGGGTTAGTTAGAATGTTTTGAAGCATCAAAAATACATTTTGGTTCAAAAATAACAAAAACTACGACTTTATTCAGCATTGTATTGTCTTCCGGTTCTGTTGTCAATCCGCGTTCAGTGATGCAGCTGATGTTATCTATATCACGATTTGATTTAAGTGTTGAACTGCTTTGTATGCAGGCTATATCAAAAATTTTACAAATTCCACGTTACAGTAGATTTTTAAGACTGGATTCTGCGTTTCTGTCCACGTTTTCCACCTCACGAAAATCATAGGGCCCTGCATTGTTGTATCCATTTCCATGCCAAACACCCAGAGATGTCATGATAAAGGCACCTCACTGAGAATGACCAGCACTCACAATGATACCAGGAAATATATATATATATATATAAAACAAGCATTTTAAGAAACTCAAGAGCTAATTTTCACTAAAAATTCACAAAAGATCTAAAGACAAAACAATTTACAGCTGCCAGGATGATTTTGCGAAATTGGAAATGCCCCAAAACCCCAGACCTTAAAGACTGGGTTGATGGGATGATTGAAATTGCTTCATATGAGAGCATGTTGGGGAGACTGCATAATGAGGGAGAAATTAAAAAAAACGTGGGACCATTTTTGGCAGCATATAAAAATGGTGTAAATAGGACTGCTCAATAACTGTTTAATTTTTATGTGGTTTTGTTTTGGTTGTATGCCACTGATGGGGACTAGTGGCGGAATGTGTAATTGTAAAGGTGATTACTGAATAATGTGATGTACTATGATGTTTTGACTGTTGAACAATAAAAAAAGTTGAATTACAAAAAAAATAAAGACAAAACAATTTCCCCCACGTGCATCGACGAGTGAGATGAAACTCATTATAATATGCAAAACTGTTCTCCACTCACAGCAGTGGGCGTTTACTTCCAAGTCTTCAGTGCGAGACGCCCATAAAAACCGAGCGTTTTTCAGCTAGGCTCAAAACTAGGGTAGAAAATAGCCTATTGCTAAATCTCAACATTTAATTTCAGGGATTACATTTGAGCTTAAAGTGGATTATATCTTACATGACTACCCGTGTAACAATGTCAGGAACACGGTTAAAAACAACAATATATCATAGCCTGATGATTTCTGATTTTCAACTGAACCAACATACTGATCAAACATCAATTGGCCACAAAGTGTGACTTTAATAGACTAAAGTTCTTGTTTCATATCCGTTGCAATAAGCATTGTTCTAGTAAGGAAATTACAAAAGTCTTGGTGTTCCTTAAGGAAGGTGTGCCCTCGAGCACTAGTTCCTCATTCAACCTATTAGCACATTAGCTTCTCCTTCACAGTGTCTCGAGTGGCTTTGACGTCTAAATCTGATTCTGCTGAGAAAGCATACTATGACCCATGACTAAATACTCTGGAAAATATCAAACTCCAATTAAAAAGCAAACCCAGATGCTTGATCCTTTTCATGTGTCCTACTGGAAACATGAGCAATGACTTCCATGTGTTCATCAAAGGAACGTAACAAGGTGGGCTGGATCAGGATAAATGTTTAGTTTACTTCAGCAATGCGCTTGTGCTCAACTTCCTCTAAGAGGGTTAATGGCAAACTTTAAGATCACTTATTTACAAATGGTCCATTAATACTACCTGTAGGGATTAGGGAATCAATAAAACATTTATAAAAAGTTTTGTCAATCAATCCTAGCTGTTTGTTGATATGTATAAATCTACAATTTGCATTCAGTTGCCACAGCACACATCTCAAAGTCAAGTGAGGTCAAAAGACATTTACCAAGGGGTCCATTGAGGCACTAATGGGGATCTGCCAATTATTTTAAATCACAAACTATTGAAAAAAAAAAATAGTATAGAAAATTAAACAAAAATAATACTCAGGTTAATACTCAAAGTTAAAGCTAAACTGCAGCTAAATCAGTGCTGTTTTCATATTTTTTATATCATAATAAACTTTATTTTATATTGTGTCTTTAAACCAGCTTCTCAAGGCCCTTTACACAATAAAAATTACAAAGAAAGAAAAAATAAGTAAAATAAATTATATACACACACATACATACACACACTGTCAAAAAATATTTTCATGATTTGTAATCACAACATTTTTTCTTTTGTCAAATCAACTTAGATAATTTATGTAGTTCAGATAACATAATATTTGAGTTTCTGGTTATTAAATTAATCTCCTTCATTGTATTAACTCAATTTTTCCATTTCAATGAACTTAAAAGTAAGGCAACCAGGCAGGTTACTTATTTTAAGTTAAACCAACACACACACACACACACACACACACACACACACACACACATATATATATATATATATATATATATATATATATATTTATATATATATTGTTTTAAGTTAAACCAACATATATATATATATATATATATATATATATAATATAAATAAACCAACATTTAAATATATATATATATATATATATATATAAATACACACAGATAGAAATACAAACCTTGCAAAAAAAAGTAAACCAATACACACTAGAATACAACATAATTAAAACCATTGGGAAAAAGCTAACCTAAAAAAGTGAGTTTTTAGGTTGGATTTAAAAATGCTTAGATTTTGTGCATCTTTAATATATACTATTAATTCATATATATTTTTATATTTTCATTTTAGTTTAATTTTTAATAAGAGGTAAAAAAAAAAAAGAAGGAAATGCTATACACCACATAAGGATTAACAACATTTGCATGTCATAGAAAATGTTTTATGGTGAAATATTGTTTTGGTTGCCGACAATTGACTTTATGCACAGCTGCTTATTTCCTGTCTGCCATTATTGGACAAAATTGATTCATTCAGGTGTGCCTGATTATTGTTGTTGTGACCACTGAGGTCAGACACACCTGGATTAATCAGTTTGTCCAATAATGGCAGACAGGAAACAATGAGCTGGAACAAATTAGACTTCAGTTCAGACATTCATCACTTGCGATGACATGAAGTGGAGTATGTTAGAAGTCTTGTCCACACACAGAGAGCTTCCCGTATAAAGTTACACCTGGTGTGTATGACTCACGAGTCGTCTGAAGACTGCAGATCTATTAGGTTGTTTACGCTCATTCAAGTTTCAGTTTCACCAAGAGAGTCAAATAGGCTACATACAAACATGATGCAAAAACCTGCAATGGTTTTAACCTTTCTGACAGGCAAATGAGTAGATCAACAGACCCTTCCTCCTAGGCCTGCAGTATCTGACACTGGAGTGCTCAACGTGTAAAATCACTGTCTTACCTTAAACCTCAAGTATTGATCTACACACATCACAGCTCAATGTTTACAGACAATACTGGAAGTTAGCATTCTACTAGCGTAACTTACTGCAGGTATCCAATATTTCGCGATATATACAAGTTATTTAAAGCTCAGCCAAGAATATTTAAACTCTATCGCGTTAATGTTTGTGTTTTAGCGTGAATATAACGAAATTACAGTCATGTGTCAATAGCTCAATCCTCGCATCATCACACAGGCTATCACGAAAACTCCAGCGATAACGTTACATATTCATAAATGATGTCGCTTCTTACCCTGTTCCCTACAGCCGCGTCTAGCTTGCTTGTCGTAGCCCCTTGATTTAATGCTCCATAACTGTCCTTGATGTGGTCAGCCATGTATCCAGGGATTGATTCTGGTTTTCTTTGGGACTGAAGTTTTTTTTTTTTTTTTTCTTTTTTTGAGGAAGTAAGATGGCCGCTGCTGGTATGTTTAGTCTGAATGTCTGAAATCAGTGACGCAAACAGAGATGTGAGAGCCAGTCACCATCAGAGGGCGCTATTGTTATATGTTTATGAATTTATTATAATACAACTATGTTCATTTACATAATATTAGTTAAAGGTACAGTCAACCCCTAAAATGATTAAGCTATTTCTATAGGAAAACTTGGTATGAAAGTAGTCAAAGGTGTCATGTAGTTTTGGAACATCAAAGGTGAGTAAATGGCAGAATTGGACTATACTTAAAGGGATACTCCACTTTCTGTTGGAAATAGGCTCATTTTACAACTCCCCCAGAGTTAAACAGTTGAGTTTCCCCGTTTTCAAATGCATTCAGCCGATTTTCTGATATTTCAAAGAATATTAGTAACCAGACAGTTTCTGGTCTCATTGACTTCCATAGTAGGAAAAAAAATACTATGGAAGTCAATGAGACCAGAAACTGTCTGGTTACTGATATTCTTCTAAATATCAGAAAATTGTTGTAGTTGAGTTGTAAAATGAGCCTATTTCCAAAAAAGTGGAGTATCCCTTTAAATTACAAAATGTCACTGTGAACTCTCAATTTCTCAGAAAACAGGATATATTCAGCTAACCTTATGAGGTGCTCAAATGCTTGTTTTTCTTTGCTCAAGACTGTAAGATACCTCTGTTCTTCTGTCAAACCTCCATATATAAGAAAATAAACACTAAGAGGAAAAAAATTACATTTTAAAGTTCAGAAAATCAGCTGAATGGATTCAAAAACAGTAAAAGTGTTCAACTGTTTAACAGTATCCCTTTAAATTACATGTTGACCACACAGAAATAACTGCAGAAATACTTTATTTAAAAATTTTAAATTTTATGAGTGGAAATTTCCCTCCAGCCAATGCCAAAATTAAGCAAATAATCTAAATGTCTAGTTATCAACAATATACAGTATGACTACATACTACATCACAAGTCATTACAAAATTACAATTGAGAAGTTTGAATCTAATATACAAGTTATTTAAATATTCAGAAATACAATAATACATTTATTGCTTAAACAACATTTTCAAAAAATAAATATAAAAAATAGGCCTGTCAAACAATTAATCGTGATTAATCGCATCCAAAATAAAAGTTTGTGTTTACATGATATATGTGGGTGCACTGTGTATTATTTTGTATACATATAAATACACACACATGAATGTATATTTAAGAAAAAAAATATTATATATAATATAAATGATATATAAATCTATATACATGAAAATATTTCTTAAATATATACAAGCATGTGTGTGTGTTTATATATATATAAAATAATCATACACAGTGCACCCACATATATTATGTAAACACAAACTTTTATTTTGGATGCGATTAATCGCGATTAATCGTTTGACAGCCCTAATAAAAAACCCTTCGACAATTCGACACAATTACCAAACCTGAGAATACAGCGCAAAATACTTTTCTTTTCTTTCTTTTTTCACAATCTCTACTTGCTCTTCTGAACAGGCACCACATTCATAGAATTGTGCAGAAATTCATAAAGCTGCCTGGCATTGCTGCCACTACCCAATATCTCACTGAGCCTTTCCTGGCTAAATGTTAGAAGATCAGCCAGGCAGGAAGCGTGCTTTATAAGGCTCTTGAAATTTTTTACATTGACTCCAGGCATACGAAGCAAGAAGTCGTAAGGGCCGGGATTGTACATGTCTGCTGACTCCGTCACGGTCTCCGACTCGGCCGTAATGGCCTGAGCTGCAGCGGCATCAGGCTCTGCGCGGCCGTTTTTGAGCTCCTCAAACAGCTCTGCCGTCACATAGGGAGATGGGCACCAGAGCAGCCTCAAGCGAGGGAAATGGAGGGTGAGGAGGGTCAGTTTGGAGGTGACGTCGCTGGCAGAGATCTCCTGACGAAAGTCACTGCGGGCCACAAGGGAGAAAGGCTTTGCGGGGTCAAACTCGATAAGCAGCACAGGGCGACGATAGAATCGAGACATTGAGAGGCATTGTGTGTAGAGACGCCCACTCTGCAGGGAACCAATGAGGTCACTGACGCTTTTGCGCTCTACGCAGATCTCAGAAGTCAATATGTAGTCGCCGACCTCTAAGGTGACCGGTTCAATGTCGAGACCACGCCGATGCAGAAGGGAAGGGAGCTCACTGCGGAACTCTCTCATGTCAACAATGATTCGATGAGGCTCTTTAATCTCTTCACGACCACCTAATTAAAGAAAAATGTTTGCAAAAGGTATTCAACTTCAAGCATGCACAATTGTTATTCTAGCAGGAACCATTAATCTGATAATAACATGAAAGTTATATCCCATAACCGATATTTGGTTGAGATTACAATTCTACGGAGCCCCCCTAGTCCCACTTTGGCAAAAAAAAAATGAATTACTGTATAATTATCTTGTGGCCTCAAGATAGTAACTCGAGTCGTGGCCTCAAGATATAGTTACTATCTTGAGCCCACGAGTTAGTTTCTTGAGGCCACGAGTTACTATCTTGAGCCCACGAGTTACTATCTTGAGGCCACGAGTTACTATCTTGACGCCACGAGTTACTATCTTGAGGCCACGAGTTACTATCTTGAGGCCACGAGTTAGTATCTTGAGGCCACGAGTTACTATCTTGAGGCCACGAGTTACTATCTTGAGGCCACGAGTTAGTATCTTGAGCCCACGAGTTACTATCTTGAGGCCACGAGTTACTATCTTGACGCCACGAGTTACTATCTTGAGGCCACGAGTTAGTTTCTTGAGGCCACGAGTTAGTATCTTGAGGCCACGAGTTACTATCTTGAGGCCACGAGTTAGTATCTTGAGGTCACGAGTTAGTTTCTTGAGGCCACGAGTTAGTATCTTAAGGCCACGAGTTACTATCTTGAGGCCACGAGTTAGTTTCTTGAGGCCACGAGGTAGTTTCTTGAGGCCACGAGTTAGTATCTTGAGGCCACGAGTTAGTATCTTGAGGCCACGAGTTAGTTTCTTGAGGCCACGAGTTAGTTTCTTGAGGTCACGAGTTAGTTTCTTGAGGCCACGAGTTAGTATCTTAAGGCCACGAGTTACTATCTTGAGGCCACGAGTTCGTTTCTTGAGGCCACGAGTTACTATCTTGAGGCCACGAGTTAGTATCTTGAGGCCACGAGTTAGTTTCTTGAGGCCACGAGTTAGTATCTTGAGGCCACGAGTTACTATCTTGAGGCCACGAGTTACTATCTTGAGGCCACGAGGTAGTTTCTTGAGGTCACGAGTTAGTTTCTTGAGGCCACGAGTTAGTATCTTAAGGCCACGAGTTACTATCTTGAGGCCACGAGTTAGTATCTTAAGGCCACGAGTTACTATCTTGAGGCCACGAGTTAGTATCTTAAGGCCACGAGTTACTATCTTGAGGCCACGAGTTAGTATCTTAAGGCCACGAGTTACTATCTTGAGGCCACGAGTTAGTTTCTTGAGGCCACGAGTTAGTATCTTAAGGCCACGAGTTACTATCTTGAGGCCACGAGTTAGTTTCTTGAGGCCACGAGGTAGTTTCTTGAGGCCACGAGTTAGTATCTTGAGGCCACGAGTTAGTATCTTGAGGCCACGAGTTAGTTTCTTGAGGCCACGAGTTAGTTTCTTGAGGTCACGAGTTAGTTTCTTGAGGCCACGAGTTAGTATCTTAAGGCCACGAGTTACTATCTTGAGGCCACGAGTTCGTTTCTTGAGGCCACGAGTTACTATCTTGAGGCCACGAGTTAGTATCTTGAGGCCACGAGTTAGTTTCTTGAGGCCACGAGTTAGTATCTTGAGGCCACGAGTTACTATCTTGAGGCCACGAGTTACTATCTTGAGGCCACGAGGTAGTTTCTTGAGGTCACGAGTTAGTTTCTTGAGGCCACGAGTTAGTATCTTAAGGCCACGAGTTACTATCTTGAGGCCACGAGTTCGTTTCTTGAGGCCACGAGTTACTATCTTGAGGCCACGAGTTACTATCTTGAGGCCACGAGTTACTATCTTGAGGCCACGAGTTCGTTTCTTGAGGCCACGAGTTACTATCTTGAGGCCACGAGTTACTATCGAGGCCACGAGTTACTATCTTGAGGCCACGAGTTACTATCTTGAGGCCACAAGTTAGTTTCTTGAGGCCACGAGTTCGTTTCTTGAGGCCACGAGTTCGTTTCTTGAGGCCACGAGTTACTATCGAGGCCACGAGTTACTATCTTGAGGCCACGAGTTACTATCTTGAGGCCACGAGTTAGTTTCTTGAGGCCACGAGTTACTATCTTGAGGCCACGAGTTAGTATCTTGAGGCCACGAGTTAGTTTCTTGAGGCCACGAGTTACTATCTTGAGGCCACGAGTTAGTATCTTGAGGCCACGAGTTAGTTTCTTGAGGCCACGAGTTACTATCTTGAGGCCACGAGATAGTATCTTGAAACCACGGGTTAATATCTTGAGGCCACGAGTTACTATCTTGAGGCCACGAGTTACTATCTTGAGGCCACGAGTTACTATCTTGAGGCCACGAGATAGTATCTTGAAACCACGGGTTAATATCTTGAGGCCACGAGTTACTATCTTGAGGCCACGAGTTACTATCTTGAGGCCACAAGTTAGTTTCTTGAGGCCACGAGTTCGTTTCTTGAGGCCACGAGTTACTATCTTGAGGCCACGAGTTACTATCTTGAGGCCACGAGTTACTATCTTGAGGCCACAAGTTAGTTTCTTGAGGCCACGAGTTAGTATCTTGAGGCCACGAGTTACTATCTTGAGGCCACAAGTTAGTTTCTTGAGGCCACGAGTTCGTTTCTTGAGGCCACGAGTTACTATCTTGAGGCCACGAGTTACTATCTTGAGGCCACGAGTTACTATCTTGAGGCCATAAGTTACTATCTTGAGGCCACAAGGTAGTATCGTGAGACCACGGGTTAATATCTTGAGGCCACAAGTTACTATCTTGAGGCCACGAGATAGTATCTTGAGGCCACGAGATAGTTATAATTTTTTTTTTTTGCCAAAGTGGGACTAGGGGGGCTCTGTACAATTCTCTTCTAG